TATATAAATGTTTATCTGAAGTATAGACGTAGTGGGTGTTTTACATTATATTTAGTTCCATAGATGCGCAGGTGTATTTTATAGAATTGCGAGATACACACCCTGTTTTACTATCAACAAGAAGACAGTATATTACTTCTAATTCAACGAGGATGTGCTCTCACGCTTGTTAAATACAGACATATTACAGACATATACCACTTTCAGATTTATGGGCAACAAAAGTAGTACCTGTATCTCTATATAAAGATATGTTTGATTACTTGCACCTATATCGATACTGGATGGCAAGCCGAGGTCAGGTTTCTCAACTTAACAAATCTCATTTGAACTATCAAGTACACGGATGTTAAACCCAGTATGTGTGTCCTCTCTTTCTCACGCATGTCTCTCACTGTGTCTCAGGCATGTCAGTGCTATGCAAGGGCAGCCATGCAGAGAAGGTCCACCACGCCTTCCAGGGCTACGACGTGCACCACAACGGATTCATCACTAAGAACGAGATCCGCAAGATGCTCAAAGCGTATTTCTTTCTGAGCATGGAGTTGGTACGCGATGTGATTAGGGGGCTGGAAGAGGTGAGTATGGTTAGAACCGGTTCACATGCACTTGGGTGGTAGATGTTTGTGTGACCTTGTTTGTTTGTATGGGTGGTTGTAGCTGGTGCGTGATGGGACTAGAGGGGTTTGATGAGGTCGAATGTTGTGTTTACATATAACACGCGTTGTGGAGGAAGCCGTGAAGCGTTGGTTCGGACGGGGGATAAGAAGAGGTTGGATGGATCCCATAGCTCATATATGCACATACAAGTGTACGCACTAACATACAAACACACGTCCACATATATATACACACACATACATACATACATACATACATACATACATACACACATACATACATACATACATACATACATACATAAATACATGCATGCATGCATACATACATACATACATACATACATACATACATATATACATGCTTACATACATACATACATATATACATACACACACACACACATACACACACACACACACACACACATATATATATATATTTATATATATAGCTGTGTGTTGTAGTCTTGCGGCTTTTGACTGGCATTTGTTTGGCTACATATCCCGTTCGCTACAGGAGATGGAGGAGGAGGGCTGGTTTGAGATGGCTGAGCAGAAGTCGAATGATTCGTGCATGTACCTGAATCTCATAAACCGCAAGGTCGAGGGTGACGACCAGGGTATGCAAAGCACATGCACACAGCCCTACAGATGCCACAGTAACCCACCCTCTCATAGGCTCACACTCATCCACACGTCGATAAGTGAGTATGATATACATATGCAGTCCCCATGCCGCGATGTGGTCCAGGTATACTGACCACTGATCCTTACGAACCGCTTCCCACAGACTCTTGGGTGCGATGTGTACCCATGCATTTTATTTTTCCTGTAAATGTCTGATTGGCAATTGCCAGATCGATGATCACCTAATCTGCGATCTCATTATTTGACTAAACGTACACTTAGGCGAGGCTAATGGGCATTCGAGGTTCATAACGGCGGACGAGACCAAGCGCCAGTCATTGCAGTTCTTGCCTACGCAGTAAGTCTGAGTGTTCAGGTTGATGTATAGAGTTATCGTCTCACAGGCGTGTGGAAGTGTGTCCTTTATATATATATATATATATATATATTTACATAAATATTTATATATATATACATACATAATAGATATATATATATATATATATAAATATATATATATTATATAATATGTATATATATTTATATATAAATGTATATATATATAATATATATATATTTATATATTTATATATATATATATATATATATTTAACTTGTATATGTACAGGTAGAATCTCAGTATAGTCTCATATCATTTATGTATACCAACACTCGCATAGCAATGTGGGGCCGTCTCTTGCTTCCTTTCTCATATGTAATGGATATGTCTTCATATAGATTCATGTTGACTGATCTAGTGGCAGGTTAGAATAGCAGTAAAAAGGCACATTCACTACAGAGTCTCACCTACCTGGCAGGAGCTCTCTCGGGTTGTTTTATTTATCTCATTTCAATTAGTCAGACAGTACAGCCACTGAACTCTTTTCCTTTTGTTTTATGTGGGGACGTGCCCTGTTTGAAACCTTATTATGTATATCTGTCGTATGTCTTCAAATCATTCCGGATTTAAACAGACTTTTCATTGTGTAATGTGTGTATGTCTAGGCTTTGGCACTCATTCCATCCTTTTCTCAACATATCAGAGGATGCCCAAACGTATATTCACTCGCATACACGCTTCTTGCTTGACAGACATCGGAACATACACAGGATACTTAACATATATACACTCGCATACACGCTTCATGTAAACATATATACACTCGCATACACGCTTCATGTAAACATATACACACTCGCATACACGCTTCATGTAAACATATACACACTCGCATACACGCTTCTTGCTTGAAAAATATCTTAACGTACACCCGACTCCCACCCACTTCTTCACAGTGAACAAGGATCAAATGGGGTGCAAGGCGGTGATGGGTACCAGAGCATCAACAGCATCTCTAACTTTGCGAATAACATTCGAAGGCGCACTAGCTACGCCGTCACTCGCGCACAGCAGAAGGCTGAAAAGGGGGAACTTTGGCCGGTATGTGTATCTGAGTCAATCTGAGTGTATCTGAGTGTATCTGAGTGTATCTGAGTCAATCTGAGTCAATCTGAGTGTATCTGAGTCAATCTGAGCGTATCTGAGTGTATCTAAGTTTATCTGAGTGTATCTGAGTGTATTTGAGTGTATCTAAGTTTATCTGAGTGTATCTGAGTGTATTTGAGTGTATCTGAGTATACCCGAGTATTTGATTCCGCAATGCCTGTAAGTGGAGGTGGGATGTATTTGTACATGTAGGTATGTATTCCCATCCTTTGAACGTGACGTGTGCTGGTACTGGTTGGTAAGTTTGCCGTTCATCTGTGTGCAAGTATAGGCTCATAATTTTGTTCTCAGTACCATAACAGATCAGTTTGTGTTGTGTGCTACACATCTGCCTTCACCATCGTAAAGTGCTCTCATAGATTATGAGATTGTGCTAGGCCGCTTCTTCATCCACTCTGTGCCTGTGTGCACACGCGCTTCCTGGCGAGTAGGGCTCCATCTATATCACGACACACTGCCGTTCAACTCACTGCATACCATTGCTTTGTCCTACACGGCCTGTACATGTGTGTGCGCCTGATACTACTCTGTGCTTGTGTGTGCGTCTGATACCACTCTGTGCTTGTGTGTGCACTCAGGTTATGGAGGCCATGTCCCAGGACGCCATAGACGAGCTGGTGGAAGAAACGTTTGCGCAGGCCGATATCGATATGGACGATGTGGTGTCACGCGAAGAGTTCGAGAGGCTGGTATGTTTTCACTATACGTTTGTACGTCTTTAATTTTGTTGTAGGCACCTTGGTGTGCAATGGTTTATACAGGCGTATGCACGGACATTGCAGACTGCCGAATGTAGGGAAGAATAATAGAATATATAGAATCCCGGTGCCTCTGTAGGTTGCTCTGTATGTATGTATGCTTTTGCAGGTTGGCTTGTATATATACACACTTTTGTAGGGTGTTTTGTATGCATATACGGCTTTTGCAGTGTGTGTTGCTTGCGTATACGTTTACTCTGTATACGTGTTGTGGGGCTACTACTGGGTCTTCAGACTGGGCTGATGGCTACCATGTATGGATTTATGGGTCCATGCCAAAGATAAGTATTTTAAACCTGTTCTATTGTTGCTGGTTGTTTCTCTCGGATACGTTAGGATGCATTGCGAATGGGTCTGTGTCTAATCGCGCATGTGTGGTATCGTATCTATGATCAGCAAATATCTGTGCACTTTGTAGTCTTTTGTGTGCTTTATGAATGTGCACTTTTTTTCTTAGCTTCCACGCGTGCTACATGGTGTGGATGTATGTGTGCTCGTGTTCGTTCCGTTTGCGATAGGGTTATAGTTATATTCATATATGCACAACCTCCTCTGTGTCTTCCAGGCGGCCAAAAATACCACTCTGACAGCGTGGTTCGATGCACTCGGGAGCGTGTTCTGAAGCGGACGCTACCACACTATCAGGCGACTCTCCTTCACCTGTCCAATCCTCGGGTTCACATCTCGCGCTGAGCCCAAATACAAACACACACCAGAAACAGGTGTATTCTGTGGTATTTAGAAGACTCCTTTCGACTGAGGTCGCTCACTGCCTCCGACAGGAGGATGGCCAGCGGTAGTATCACACGGAGTATTTAGATTGAAGTTCGGTACATCACTGGCAACTGAGTGTTGCATTTGGGGCTGATTCGTACCGCAGTCAAAGTAACCCATAGTCGATTAAAGAAAGCTGGCTCACGCGTGTATGTGGTCGGTTGAGGTGAGATGTGTACTATCCAGTTGTGGTATTCGAAGCACTGCGACGCACACTGCGCTAGTGTTTTGGCATCTACTCAGAATGTACACATTTAACCCGCAGGATCTTATGTTTTATCAAACGATCTCAATTCTTCGAGCGGCAGGCCAGTTTCCTGCCCAATCAGCCTGGCATAGATAAAGGTGTGCATTACTTGTGTGCTCAGTTCAACGAGGCGCATGTCACCTGGGGATTAAGCATGATTAGTGGTGCTAGCTCATGCTTGTAGCCTACCGAGGTCAAGCTCGACAACGAGGGGTTTGATTCAGAGTACATTCAACAGGACACACGAGCCCTGCGTCCACTGTAAACCGGTGTACACAGACTAGGCCAGCCTATTTATGTAGGGCATGTATTGCTTGTATATATGTGTATGACATTCTCCTGCTCAGGTCCATTGGTCACGGTGTCTGTGCAGGAAACAAGATGCTCTCGAGGGCTGAAGTGCTCGACTTGTGACTCCGGAATGGAGAGAGAGCTAGTCTGAAGGACTATGAATCTGGTCATGGCACTGAGGCCATAGATTGCACCTACATACATTGGTACACGATGCAAGTAAACGAGCAGCCAGGTACTAACAGCTATGTTGAACAAATATCTCACGAACCGGCTTGGGATGGGCAGATGAACTTGTTATATCCAAGGACTTTATAAGACGTGTGTAAGGCGAGGACTATGTATGGTACACAGGATGATTATCCACCGAAAGCAATCGGTATAAATGTGCATCCTATGTGAGACATCAGAGTTTGATCGTTGCTACCCACGCCGAGAATATTGCTATGTTTGTTTACTGGAGATTAGCTAAACGAGAAAGGCAATGGATACCTCCAAACTCTGACTCTAAACCTTAAAAACCGGGCAGGTTTTTTAACTCTTGCATACCCAAACGTACACGTGGAGCGTATTATTTACCACAAATTCTGACCAACATCTTCGCGAGTGCTAGTGTGCTTGTTCGAGAAGAATAACGTACTAGCCCACGACCACGGGGCATTGTTCAGGAGTAGTTCACATCCAGCAATACTATTCCGGCGGTAGCTTAAATTAAACTATGAAAGCCCACGAGCATATGTCGAGAAGATGGCGTGTGACATTGATCACTCGAGACAAGCCTCAGCGAAAAGCAATGGCAAATCGTCAAGGCATCAACACTCCGCGACAACCTTTGCGGGGCGCCGGTAATGAACAAAGTAAATACTAACAAGGTGTGATGAAATATAGATACATTCACTTAGAACAACGAAGTGAGCTATTCAGTATCAGGTGTAAACGCGAGTGGTGGAAATTACATGTTCTCAATCACAACCTGAAGCGATGATATTGCGATCACTGTGTATGAAAGGATAGATAGGTAATTCAGGACAAGATCAGGACTGATATATATAGACAAGACAGTGATCAGGTTGATGCTAAATTTATTGTGCACTTCTAAATTATGGCCCATTCGTGAGCTTGGTTATTGTCGATTATTTGATATTCCTCCTTGAGCTTTATCAACTCTGGAACGTGGGCTGTCCGACAGCATGTGGCATGGGCTGTGGCTTACAAGTGGACTTAACCCCGCCCCTCACAACTCTGCTGGCATTCGCAGTTCTCAATCCATTCGTAGAGAACGTGCTGGTCATTGTGGATCTTGCAGACATGGTCACCGGTCGCTGAGGTCCGCACGAACTTGTAGCATAGCCTCTCTGCAATGACTGTGTGGTGGTTTTAAGGCCAGACCGACGTACTTGTGCGTTCGCCACTGCTTTAATTAGACCGCTTGTCAAAGTCATGATTTTTATTTGTTGCTTTGTTAGTTTGGATTATGGTGGCTATTAACTCATATCGGTTACTATTTATATGAAAATTGGAGCGAACACACCACAGCACAGTCGAAGACCGCAATCGAATTATCCAATACTTGATAACCTCAGGCACCAGGCCTCAAGTCTATTGAACTAAATATTGACCTTGTACCAGCTTTTGCCCCGCGACCCGCGTGTGTTTAACCAGTGCTAAATGAAAATTACAATGTTCCATTATAATTTTACAAAATTAAAATTGGACTGCTGGCTCTGGAAATAACATATTTGGCCCTGATGCCTGATGGGTCCTGGTAATTTCTTCGAAGCCAAAACAATCTATATCACAGTATCACAGTCACTCTGATATGTAGTATGTCACTTTTTTAAAAACTTTATCCGTCCATCATGAGCAGACCTGTCCAGAAGACCAGACCAGTGCCAAACGGAAAAGTGAGCAAACAAACTGCCAACAATTCTGGGTCAGACAGAAGAGTACTTCTTTGAAGGGGTGAGAGGAGGGGGGGCAGAGTACAGAGGAGCAGATTACATTTTACAGTCTACAGTCTACACTTCTACCTGTAACTCAGTATACACGAGAAAAAAAAACAGTCATAGACTGCATACAACAACTGTTAAAAAATAGGTATTCAAAAGTGCCAGTGCCCAGTCAGCCACATATTTACAATGGTAATTATACTATTGTCATGATGTATCTGCTATATCTGCTATCTACTAAATAATAAATAGTCAATACAGACACAGAGAATCAGAGAGAGAGAAAGAGAGAGAGAAAGAGAGAGAGAGTGTGTGTGTGTATGTGTATGTAGTATGTAATAGTATGTACTATGTATCCACACACACACTCTCTCTACTCTACTCTACTCTAGTGGAGTCGAGTAGACACCAGTGCTATTATATTGTCCAAAGTTAGATTCTCTGAACCTTATAGAAGATAGTGATTGGATATTTTTTAAATTAAACAAAATTCAGAGCTCACTGTAACATTCTCCGATACTCGTAAGTTAGTACCCAATGAAAATCTGTTTTCCCTCCAGCCAGTGTCTATCCAATAAGTCTACAGTAGCAGTCTACTACTAGCAGATGTGAGGCAGTGAGTGTGACAGAGAGAAAGAGAGGGAGTATGGTGCTGTATGCACATTGCAAAATTGCACATACATACTATGTGCAATTGTACATACATTCTTACATACATAGCCACTCTACTACTACTAGTCTCTACTACCTGTATAGCCAGTGCTATTACATTGTCCGAACTCCGAAATCTGATAGAAGATGGTGATTGGTTGTTATTAAAATACGGGCATGCACATATGAAAATTGAGAGCTCACTGTAACTTCTGCCGATGTTCGTAATTTAGTACCTAATGAAATTGTGTTTTATTTTGGTCAGTGTCTATCCAGCTAGAAGGTTATTGGATAAACAAACTCTGGGGAGTCGGGACTCTGCAACAACACGGATGAGTGTTTTAGTTGACTACAGTTTTTGGTGTTTTTTTTGGTTTTTATTAAAAAAACAAGCAAAATTGAATTTTTCTTGACAACTGTGAGAACTCAGACCTGCAGTGTAAATAGTACTATGTAGTCAGTAACTTAGTATTATGTGAAGTGTGAAGTGTGAGACTGAGAGACTGAGACTGAGACTCACAAGTCACAGTGAGTGTGAGTGTTGACATTGGACTGTTGTCAGTGTTGTGAGTTGTCTAATGTTTTTACTACAGTTGAGTCAATTCTCTCTCGAGATTGAATTATGTACTCAGAGAGTGAGGGAGTAGTATTTAGTAGGAGGCAACTCTCTCTACTCTAGAAAGAGTCGTCTCTCTACTACTACTTAACTACTAGTAATAGCTAGTCTAGTAGTAGAAGTAGACGCGAGCAGTTGACTGTTGAGAACTTGAGGCCTAGTCATCATCAGACATCGTGTGTGTCAACGACTCAACACTCAAGTCTCAACAGTCAATAAGTGTATTTACTGGGTCAGTTGGTCAGTACTGGGGTGAGTGGATACTGGTTGGGGTCGTTGGGCCCATGCCCCGTGGGCCATACCGCCATAGCCTAATACATAGGGCATAGGCTATGGTCCCGTCACCATAGCCCGTGCCCTACGGGCCACCGTGCTCTACTCTAATAGAGAGAGAGGCAGTACATACACAGTTAGTACATATTTTTTTATACGAAGTTGCCAAGTGCCACAGACCCACAGTGACACTACGCATATGATTAAAAAATATTCAGTTCCACACCACCAGTTGCCAAATGCCAATAATCAATAATTTTACAAATAGACCTAAAAATTAAATTAAAAACATAGCCTTCTAAATTGTACCTTATTTGTTTTTAAAAACATTAAAAATACAAACATGAATGGTATTCAATCTTTGCAGATCATATCAACAACATACCTTTTGTTTTACTTGCTATTACTCTACTCGGCCATACCAAAAACTGCTTCTAGTTGGTTGTTTCTCTCTCACGAGAGTAAAGCGTTGTTTTCAGCGCGGGTTAACACTTACCACTGCCAGTCTGTGACTGTGACTGAACACTGGGTCCTTAACTCCTTGGGCTTGGTGACAGTGGTGAGCGGGGAATGGGGAATGGGGAGTCTGGAACACTGCACAGACGACAGTGCAACTAATATAAACACAGTGACAGTTTTTTTTTAAACAGACCTTTAGAATAAATAGAGTCGGTCGCCAGTCGGACATAAAAAGTGACACACACGTCACGCAGACTCCAGACTCAGACTCATCAGAATCTCGAGTTCTCGAACCTGAAACCTCGTCCCTCACGGCCTCACACCTCAGAGGCTCAATCACTGTGACGGACTGACGAGTGACGACATGCCGACGGCACAACAATGACAGCACTCTATATATATATATATATATACCGACAATGACAGCACTATATATATATATATATGTATTATTATATATATAATATATAATATAATATAATATATATATATAATATATATATATATATATATATATATAATAATAATATATATATATATAATATATATATATATATATATATATATATATATAATATAATATATATATATATATATATATATATATATATATTATATTAGTTATAGTAT